TGGTATTTTGATGGGGATTGCAATGAATCTGTAGATTGCAATGATTTAGAGAGAGGTTTCTTGATTCAGGCTTTCAGGATTAAAATGATGATTCTGTAACATTCTAAGTCTCTGTGTCCTTGAGCAAGTTACTCAATTTCTCTCTTCCTCAACAGCAGATAATTAGATAACATAATTAAAAACAGTAATTGGCAAAATTCGAATATACAGAGATAGAGAACAAAACAATGGTTACCACGGAAATGGGTGGTGGGTGGGAGATCAGGGAGATGTAGAGCAGCGGATACAAAGTAGCAGATATACAGGTAAACAAGTACATCTAATGAGATCTAATTAACAATACCAAGAGATCTAATGTACAACATGAGGACTACAGATAATAAAATTGTACTCTATATGGGATTCATACTAAATGAGTAGATTTTAGCAGCTCTTGCCACAAAAACAAAAAATGAGTAACTATGTAAGATGTTAATTTGCTTCAATGCTAACATTTTTACTATCTCTACATATCTATACATCATGTTATATACCCTAAATATAAATAATAAAATTTATTTTTAAAAAAAGCAGTGACTGACACATAATAAATACTCAATGAACACCATGTTCTACTGTTACACATCCATAGTCACCCCATCATCCAAGATCAGATAGCACATAACAGACCTTACCCATTGTATCTTACTGTCTCTAATGAGAACTACTCTCTTAGTATATTTTTAACTGATATACAAAAATCAATTTATACCTTGTTCCAAAATTTTTTTTTCAAAGCAAAGATATCCTAATTCATACAATGAGGCAAATTTTTGTTTTGTTATCACCTACAGATTAATCTATGTTCTTTAAAAAAATAGCCCAATGTAAGAAGAATATGTTATTTGTAGTCAAAGGAAAAGGAAGTTTCTATAAAATTTATTAAGTCATTACTAGAAACAAAGTACAAATATATGATGTCACTTCAGGGTTGGAGTTATGCTTCTTGAATTAATTTATTAATGATTTGCTTATTTTTTAGTCATTAAATAAATATCAAATGTCTAGTGAAAAGAAATTTGTTTAGTTATTGTTCTCAATGTTCACTGGACTGAGATCAATCAGGCCAATATAAGATAATATTAGTCCCAAGGGATGACAAAACATCCAAATAGACTTGATTGTTTGGGAGAATTACTCAAGGTAATCTAAAATAATTATGAACAGGATGAAATCACAACAGTAACTATATAGTGACCAAGTTTACTTACTCGAAAACAGATTACCTCAAAAATACTACATGTGTTGTCACAAGCTATTTGACTCAGTTCAATATCTACTATTTTTGTTGCTTAATTTTTTTTTGTAGCATGATAAAGGCTAACTACATGTTAAAAGAAAAAGCAATAAATATACTATTATTCCTGGAAATTTAAATACTAAGGGGGTAGCTAAATCTAAAAACCAACTGAAGAGAAATGGTATTGACTTCCCCACTTGAGTTAATACTTTCTTTAATTTTATTCACTACATCTAGAAAATGAATAGACAGTTCAAAACCAATTTTCATAACAACTGAAATTCAAAATATAAATCCTACTTAATTTACTTATGTAATTATCTGTTGCAAATAGCATCATTAGAAGAAGTCCACATACAAAATATTATGGGCCATATCATAACAAACTATTTCTCTATCATTGATAATATATAATATTTTTAAATATAAAATTATAGTGTTAGAGACAACCTTGTAAGATCACCTAGATCAATGTCATTATAAAAACTAAAACCAGGCCAGCCCGGTGGCGCACTGCTACAGTGCGCCGCTTGTGAAGCGCAGCGGCGCTCCCGTCAAGGGTTCGGATCCCACATACAGACCGGCCACTCACTGGCTGAGCGAGGAGCGGGGGCAACACCAAGGGTTGCGATCCCGTTGCCGGTCCCAGTCCAGTACAGGCGCGACACTGAGGGTTGCGATCTGTTGCCGGTCACAAAAAAAGACAAAAAGACAAAAAAAAAAACAAAAAACAAAACTAAAACCAGAATGAACTAAGTGCTTACTATCGGTGATCTATATATTTCATTGCATTAGTCTAAATAATTCTCTAAGCCACTATTACTTCAATTTTATGATGGTGGAAACTGAGGTACAAAAAAGTCAATAATATAATCAAAGTTACACTGATAATTAACTCAAGATTTGAACCCAAGTCTGTTGGATTTGAAAGTGCACACATATAATAACAACTACAACACACAGACTTCATAATAAAACAAAGCCGCAACAATTCTCCAGCACAAATAAAGCCTATCTTTGAAGGTTCCAGAAAATAAAATTATTCCTTCAGTAAGTGATTTTAATTCTAAACTGCCTATATAAAGTAAAAACTCATCAAGGTTGATAAGAATGGTACAGTAGTGCCAACAGAGGTAAGGCTTACAGAAAGGTTTTAAGGTATCATAGAAAAGGACCACTTAAAGTGCATGGAAGATAAAATGCTTCAGCTTGAAACACAGAAGGCAGAGGAGTAACCTATTTTAGGGCTTAGCTTTTATTTTTTTTAATTACTTTCTCCAAAAAGTAATTAAAATTAGACAATATTGCAATTTTTTGCAATGTATTTATTATGTAAACAGATTTCCCAAAAAGAGTATATTAAATTTTCTCTGGAAAATTTTAAAACTTCAAATTGATTCTCATTCATCTGGAACAATTTAGCATTGAATAGAAATAAAATGCTATAGCCTATTTTGAGGTCCCATTCACCTATAAGGATTGATGATATATCCATAAAAGAAGAAATTCTATCCACCTTGCATAAGCAAGAATCTGTATTCCTCAAATACAGGAAGAAATCCCATTTAATCACTTGCTTTTAACATTTTAAAATATGAAAGACGGATGCACATATTTTTCTACAATGGTTTCCTTCAAAACTTTAAATAACATGAGACTGTATTACTCATACACGCAATGGTCTACAAAAGAGCAAACCTCAGACATCAAGGGTTTTGAACCAATTAATGAAAAAGTAATAGAGAAGAATTCAAAATAACACATAACTAAATCACAAGGTAGCTTGGAACTGGGTTTGTATTATTAAAGAGGAGAGTGATATCTTTCTTATTATATGTTTTCTATTGGCTACAAACTACATCACTGAAAAAGTTGGAATAAATTATTACAGGGAAAAATTAAAGTGAATGATATAAAAGAACTAAAAACAAACAAATCAAAATGAAAACCAGTATGTTGACTCTTCACACTGTCTTTTATCTCCATGATGAAATAAGTACAATTTAAATACCAAAATATAAATACTAAAATGAGTTCTGAAGACAGGCAGTGAAAAATAACATGTCTTAGAGGAATGGCCTACATAACATGTTAAATATGATTTTAGCACTAAGATTTTGCAATACAAGGGTACAGCAAAAAGTTCATGGAAAGATTTGTATTATCCTTTAATTCTATTTTTCCACGAACTTTTTGAAGTCCCCTCGCAGCTGTTCATGATGGAATAAATTATTATGACAATTTTAGTTATAATATTTCAAATTGTATAATCTTTCTGATTTTCACTGAGCAACAAAATCCATTTCAGGTTTAAAAAATATGTATTTCATAGAAATTCATAAGGCATATTTAAATTACACATGGGAATTTTCTAATGGCTACTTCATCTTCAACTTCTTTTCATAGTACTTACTAGGTCATAATGTACCCTGGTTCACTTAGATGATAAATAGCAAAACATTCTGAATTTAAATACAGGACTGGAATTTAAAGTTTGATTTTTCCACTAGGCTGATCTGCCTCCCAATGAAACTATTCAAAATCTCATAGCAAAGTACTATCACAGCAGGGAATAACCTCAGGTTTCCTTTTTACTTCAAAGCTTTTAACTTTCAAAACTTCAACCTTTAAATTATATTGATATAAAAGAAAGCATGATCCATAGATGGGAGCTCAATGTGGTTAATGTACAGGTCAAATTTTAGATTTATACTTTAAATAAAGACAGTCCCAATACAGGAAAAATATTATTGGCAATACTAAAACAGAATTTCATTAATAGCTAATTTAGATAATAAATATGAAAAAATTATGTATTACATTTCATTGGACCTTAACATTTTTCTCATAGTTTCACTCATTAGTTTTTTTCCATCAAGTCAAAAGTGGATGACCCATGAAGGATCTCATGTTTATGTGAACATACTAATAATGCATTTGTATATTATTTTTGGTATAAAAATTAACGTTTACCTATATATCTTGCCCTTTAAAATTCCCAAGCACAGCGATGTACATAAAATAGCTGCTAAAATTCATATTTAACTTCATACATATATGATTCTAAGATATAATATTAAATGAGAGTTGAATGTATACAGTAGTTTTTAATAAAAATAAAGGAACCTGTAAAAATTATACATGAAATCAACCTCACTATTAGATATTTAATTTTTACATAAACATAGATATGCCACTGGTTAGATCTGGATCCTCAAATATGAACTACATATAAAGAAAAGTTAATGTTAATATTGTGCCAGTCTTATGTCATGATAAAAGCATTATAAAATAATACCACTCCTTAAGATATAAATTATGTATCTGTTATTAAATGCTATTCTTATGAATAAATCTTACCCTAATAATTTCCTTCTTGCTGACAGGATTTTATGTACAATCCAAACCACGAGTATTTGCAAAGGATAAGGTTAGGACTAACATTTTTCCTCAACTGTAAATTATAACCACTGTGCTGTGTCTGGTAAAAAATTTTATTTATTATCAAGGACCAGGCATTCCTTTATGATTCTAAGAATTTTAAGTGTCAGGGTTTCTTTTATATTGTAAATACATATGTGCCTCAGTTCTAAAAAAATTTTTATTAGCATTTCAAGGACAAAACCCACATAGTATAAATATATTCACACAGCACTGAGTATATCATGCATAATCTAAGTGTGTAAAAATATCAGCAATTGTACATTTAAAGAAAACTTACCAGACAGTTGTTTCCACTTGACTATCATTGAGCTGCCGATTGTCGAGTTGGGCAAAAAGTGGGAAAAGCACTTGAATCCCTCCAATTGAATGAATTGCACTATGAATTGAATGTGTTACTATAGCTTTCACATCCTATGTCCAAAGACAAAAATGTTTATTAAACTTCTACAGCATAATTTTCATCACTACTTATTTTCTTGTTCCAAATATATTTATAAGATAACTAAATAACATAGTTTGACATTTCAAAAGCTCTCAATTATATACTTTTGATATATGTACAAAATAAAAAATGCAGGTATCTTTGCTAATCACTTTTTTTTTTTTTGTCTTTTTCCGTGTCCGGCAACGGATCGCAACCCTCAGTGTCGCGCCCGTACCGGACCGGGACTGGCCACGGGATCGCAACCCTCGGTGTTGCTCCCGCCCCTCAGTGAGCGGCCGGTCTGTATGTGGGATCCGAACCCTCAGCGGGAGCACCGCTGCGCTTCTCAGGCGGCGCACTATAGCAGTGTGCCACCGGGCCGGCCCGCTAATCACTTTTAAATTTGAAATCGTGAGTTGAGAGATCTTTACACTGAAAATATAAAGCTAAAAACAAGTTATTTTAGGATAAGAAAACTATTAATGGATTGAAAGACACTGAGGTAATTTTTATGTTAGGGAATATTACTAGTACATTCTTAAAGCAAGGTATATTTTTATATCTAAAAATTATCTGCTCAGCTAATCAATCAATGTTATTTCAAAGGACTAGTACATAAAAGATAACAGATATGACAGATTTCCTACTAAGGAGACAAAGCCAAGGTAAAGTATATTGCCAAAAAAAGTTAAGAGGCAAAAGTACCATTTAAAGAACTGGAAAAACAAAAACAACAACAAACAAAACCCAGCAACTGTAGACTTACAAACAAGCAATGTGTGATACAAAAAGATACTGTCAATGCTGATAAGAACACAAAACTAAGCTACTACCTTCACCCACCTGGAGCATGAGAGCATGTGGGGAATGCACAAAAATTGATGCATTTTCCTTTGGTGATGATTCCAGGCAAAGTTGAGCATCAGTGGCCTTAGCATTATATGTAAAGGCAATACTACTTGCAAGTTTCCCATCATATAGAACCTGTTTATGATGTTCTGCCAAATGAATATCACTCTCAGATTTAAACTTGAAGGTACTCTAAAAAAAGAAAACTAAAGTAAACATTCTATTTAAAGGTAACAATAAAAGTCTGAAGTTTTAAAGCAGTGAAACAATTAGGATAATAAACAATTTGTAGTACACTATCCATGTGTCAGGCACTACTCAATGATGTTACTTATTTTGTTATTCTCACTTCAGTTGTTTTATTATGCTAATACTCAGACCTTTGTATCCTCATTTTCATTGCTTTCGATTGTTTAGGAAACAATCTTATTAGAAAAAATATGAAGCCAGACGATATTACATACAAATAGAATTTTACTTTAAATATTCCACAGCATAAATTTAATTTTTCTTAATACTTTCAAAAGTATTTATATAAGTAAACAGCTCCCGTCACATGAATTACTTACATGGAAAAATGACTTAATTTGAGACTATGGAAAAACTTGTTATGCAAAGATATTTATACCTTACTAAAAAGCATATGAACATATTGAACACCAATGCTACTCCATAATAATATCACAATATCCATGTTAAACTCAGAAGAGAAGCTCATGAAAACATATTCTTAAATGAAAAAAAGAACTAAAGATATGCCAGCTGTAATGAGAAAGGTATTGTTAGAAGTGGTAACAACTGTTCTGCATATATGAATCTGACAATGACAAATAATATTCAACCTCTGCAACATTCACATGATATCAGTATTTCTATTATTTTCTGCTTACAACTACTAAAAACACGTGCTATAGAAATTAAGATCTAGAAAAGAAGGAGCCAGGACATAATTCCAAGTATTCTGACTTATACTCAGTATTCAATGGATTGATAGTCAAGTCATCTGAATTATAATCCTAACTCTGCCACTAGTTATTTTTTCAATGCCTAGGAAATCATTTAACTGATGTGGCTTCAATTTCCTTACTCCAGTGTTATAATAAGGTTAAACCAAATGTTCCAAACTCAAGTTCTTAAGTGCAGTAAATAGATACACATATAAGTGAAAAGAGCCAGGTGGGGACTTCTTCAAACTAGAGAGTGTATGTCCTCTCTAAAAGTGGCCCATACTGCTCGGCTCAAGTCAATTATTGTCCATTGTTGCTAGTTCTTCCATATTTTAAGAGAAACATGAAATCTGGATTTTTATATAAAATCACCTAATTTTTAAATTTAATTTAAACATTTTTGAAACACTGTGCAGATCAAACATGTCAGGCAAAATTAAACTAGTTTTCTACTTCAGACCTAGTGTCTAGAGAGTCTTTTTAACTCGAACCTGAATGCAAACCACTAATTACAAGGCATGTGCCAAGACAAGAGCAGCCATAAATAATTTAAAATGTGTGTGTGTGTGACTACTGATCTTTGACATGTGTGTTTATGTAGTTCAATATTAGAAATAAGCCACCAAAGTCACACTATTTGGATCAAACCTTTTGTTCTCCACTCAATTAAATGGATTGTAGAACATTACCTCTTAAAGTTTCAAATCTAATCCTTTTTTTAATAATTTACAGATTCACACTTGCCAAGCTAGAAATAATGGTTGGGTTTAAAATACATCCTGGTTTAAGATAAAGATTCTGTGTTTGTCCCTAATATAATAAAGAACAGGCAACAATTAAAATAGAAAATTGAAACCAAGAATTTTTAAAACAATATTTGAGTGAAATTGAGATAACTTATTAGTCAGGCAGTAAAATTGCCAATATAAAACCCATCTAATTGACTTCTTCATTAGCTGCCTTGGTATTGGAAAATAAAATTTTTAACATGAATTTTAATAAGATTTTAAATGTTCAAAGCACTTATGTCAGGCCTTAAAAACTAATGCCACCTTAAGTGACATTACAAGAGGCGCCATTATGTGCCTACAAGGGCGTATTAATGTGGCAGCCTAAGACGGCACTGGGAGGAAGTAGGGTGGGAGTGTCTGCAGGAACCTTGCCTTAGCCCTTATTGGCCAAATACGCGCTTCCGCGCTCGTGAACACTGCATGATTGCAATAGCTAGACATTGAGATAGGATGCATGCTCTGGTAACCTTTAAGCTGATTGGAGGATGTAAAAACCTCCCTTCCCCATTTGCCTTTAAAAGCAAGTGCCTGTGTAACAACAAACAGAACTGCTCGACAGAACCCCCGCTGCGTCTGAGTGTCCTTGAACAGGCTGGTTGGGGCCAGCGGCTGTGCTTACCTCTCTTCACGGCTCTCTTCCCCGGTCTCCTTCCAACAGGGACCGGAGGGAAAGAGGAATCCGGACAATTCGCTCCCCCACAGAAGGAACACCAAGGGAGAGACTGATAGCGAGGCAAGGGCTATGCGGGTCGGCCTGCAGCGGACCCGACACACTTAATATTTGTGTTTCTAACCCAATCATTTTAAACTAAAATTTAACAAATATGTTAGAAATGTTGAAATGTTGCAGAGTGCTGATCAGAAGTGGAATTAATTATTTTAGAGGAGTAAAACATGATTTAATTGTACAAATAACATTGTTTAACTTATGAAATTTGGGAAAAGAATATATAGGAAATTGAGAAACTGCAAAAGCCAACTAAATAAGGAAGAGGAGAGACTACAAGAGTTGAATGAGCCAAGGGAAAACTGTAAATTTAATCAAGCAGAACAGTGCTGCCTTCTTAGTTGATGATATTATGCTAAGAAAAGTCATGTGTGTAAATGATGGGAATAGTAACTGGAAACAGAACAAAATATGTTCTAGCTAGTAGAGCTACCTTAAATTTAGGAAATTCGGTACAAAAATTTATACAGCAGACTAAAGATGAGATCATGAGCAGAAGAATTAAGATTATATATAAAAGGGTTTGAATTGGGATTGCATACTCCAGAGCCCCTGGATATGGTCTATTACTGCTGCTAGTCCCACTGTTTTGTTGTAGCCAGTGCCAGTGGAAAATACCCAAGAAGCTTCTATTATAAAACATAAGTCAATATACAATAGGCCTATGCTAAGATTATAACCTTAGAGAAAGATATTGCACCTTGTAAGAAAATATTACCCATGAAGCATATATCCAAGGGTCAGATTACTCTGATGCTGCAGTTTTTAAAAAATTCTTTTTAGCACCGTTTCCTGAGAAAGGATAACATTTGGCTTCCTTATTGTAGACTTTCCTTATTAATGATTCCTTTAATAAGATATGGATATTTTCTGGCAAATTACTATAAAAGACTCACTTAAAATTTTTCTAAATTAGAAAATCAAATACATATAGCCACATCATATGTTTTTATGCTGGTTTCATAAGGATCCTTAAAATACGGTATTTTATCAACTGCAACAGATATTCACTCTATCTATGTGAGTCCATAAAAATAACACTCATAAATGTTTACCATAACAATGAAATGCAGTAGTAATGAACTAGTAAATGAAGTAGTAATCAATTTAAATAACATGGTGTTCATTAATAATGAAGTATTTAAAATTTTAAAATATACCTTAAAATACAAGCCACACCAGCAAAAACATGGCAAGTCAGACTACTTGCAGATTGAAAATTTACTAAAATTATAAACCTTCCAACACATAATGTAATTTAGCTTTCCTTTCAAAAACTTTCAAAATAGATTTATAATTTTAAAAGTTATTTTTCTAAATAAAACTCTATATACTTTATAGAACAAAAACATTGTTAGTTTTAGTCTCAAAGCACTTAGAAAAGTAAAAATGTAAAGTATAAATAAATACAGAAATTATCTAAAGAGGCAACATATAATATTTATTTATTAATATTCAATGTTATCCCATATTTAATCCTCAAATTGTCTGTTAACATGTCAATGTGAGAAGGCACCAAATAACATAAAGACTTCCTAATTCCAGTGAGCTGTCGTAGATATTGGTTTTAATATATAATGATATAAATATCTGACTGTTTAGAGGAGAATACAGGTAATTAACATAGATAGTAAAATAGACTTAACAAAGGAATAGATAAAAATTGCTGTTAAGACCCCCCTCCCCAACACACACATAATGTTGCATCTAAAATTTTGAGGAATTTAAACCTGAAATTTTTTTCAAAGTTTTATATATATCAAAGTCTTAGCTTGTAACCAGAATTCATGTCAGAGGCAACCACATTTAGTTGATGCCTGCAATTGAACATTTTTCACAGTTTACCATTATAAATCATGTAGAATTTCCAGAAGAACTTCAAGAGCAGTTCAGAAATTTCAACTGGGCCCCAGCCTATTGTTATATACTACTATACTTGTGACCCTGTACTTATTTCTCCTGTTAAACAAACCTTTATGGGTTAAGACTGGTATAAACATCTTTGTTTTCCCTACACATAGTGAAAGCTCAATTAAGAGCTGATAAATGAATGAATCATCTAAAATCTACAGGTTAACAGTTCCAGAAAAATAAATCAAATTACACAGTAAAATCTGGAATGAGGGACGATGATAAATGGAAGGATTAGTTGCACATAGAGCTAGGTAAAGTTCATTTTTTTTCATATACTCATGTGCAAAGGTTATATATGTATTATATATATCATTCATTATTTATTGTTTACTATATGTCATGTATTATCAATTTTAATGGTATTTTTATCAATTTTAAAAGGTATTTAATATAATAATATTTCCTTAAAATAATAATAATGACTAACATTGACTGAGCATTAACTCCAAAGTGTCAAAAGGATACCTCAAATTAGTAAGTGACTTTAAAAGTAAACACTGGAAGAAATACAGTGAATTAAAAAAATACTATAAATATTCTTCTTTAGGTGACTATAGGATTCTACAGAGTTTCAGTAATCATTATGAATCAATTAACATATAATATGACTTGGAAAATATACAGGTCACTGATCCTATAACAAAAACAAAAAACATTTCTTAATATGAAATATCAAAAATATACTTTTATGGGTCCATTTTCAGGGTACAGTCAAAGGAGGCACATATTTCAGTTTACCATGGGATACCATCTACAATTCCAGTGGAATTTCAAGAGCATCTTAGAAATTTCAAAATGACTCTAACCTATTGT